ACCACACTTTGCTTACAGTTTAGCACAATAAAAAATGGACAAATCTCAAACTAAGCTAAAACTAAGCCTCACGTGCCCACCTCCTGGCCTGAGCTTCATGCCACCCCTCTGTCAGGAACATCCCTCCATCTTCACCTGATGGTTTTTAGTAAAACTCTTGCCTATAGAAAGTTTCACACATACTCAAGACCAGACCCTGCTGTACAATAGAGCCCCCTGCCTGCCAACCCTCTGATCACTGGCCAGGGCTGATCTTTTCCACCTCCTGTACCTCCCACTCCTTCCAGTGCAGGTGACTTTTAGAGAAGTCCCAGGCACTGTGTTATCTATTCCATATGTAGACACTCCAATGTTAACCTCGGAAAAGTAAGTAGCTTTTCTTTTTGTACATTTTCTATTCTTGTTGATGCTAGTATAAATGAAGTTGTTTTTGTAATTTTGTTTTCAGGTTGTTCATTGCTGGTGTGTAGAAATGAAAGTGATTTTGCATATTAACTTTATATCCTGCTCTGCTAAATTCATTATTCTCTCAGTTTTCTGTATGTGGAATCCTTAAGGTTTTCTACATTTCATCTGTGAACGATGATAATTCTACCTCTTCCTTTCTGGATTGTTTCTCTTTGATTTATCTTTCTTGCCTGATTTCTCCAGCTGGACCATCTGGGGCAGTGGTGGGTAGGAGTGGCGGAGGCAGGAGTCTGTGCCCTGGTTTTACAGGACAATCTTTCAGGCTTCACCACTGAGGGCCTTGGGCATGCCAGACAAGCGCTCACCAATGAGGTACTCAGGGTCCCATGGGCTGAATTTTGTTGAAAGCTTTCTCGGCATCACTTGTTCTGTTAATTGGCATGTCATCTGATGAGCTTTCATGTGTTGAATTATCCTTGCATCCTAGGCATAAACGCTACCTGGTCGTGGTGTGCAATTCCTTCCATCTATTGCTGAATTCAGTTTGCTGGAACCATGTGGAGGATCTTGCATAGTATGCATAAGGATGACTGGCCTGTGGTTCTCTTTTTCTATAATGTTGTCTGGCATTGGTGATGCTACTTCACAGAGTAAGTCAGGCAGGGTCCTGCAGCTTCAGCTTTTTGAACAAGTTTGAGAATACCAATATTACTTCTTTTCTTTTCTTTTTTTTTTTTTTTTTTTTTTTTTGGTACTGGGGATTGAACTCAGGACCTCACACTTGTGAGGCAGGTGGCAGAACCACTGAACTAAATCCCTGGCCCCAACCAGTATTAGTTCTTAAGTGCTTGATAGAATTCACAGGGAAGCCAGATTGGTAAAAAGCTGTCTGATTCAATAGCATGCCTTCATTCTTGGTCCAAACAGTATCAATCACAGAGCTGAAAGGACTTTCAAGTGCTTCCTGCTTATGGTTCCACTCTCATAGATCCCTGCCCTCAACCCTAAGGTGCTCTTTAGGAAAACTGAGGCTCAGCCCCTGGCCTCCTGGCTCTTTACATGGGCTCTTCACACCTTGGCAGCCTCCAAAGAAAGGAGGATGTGTTTGTACACAGTGTACATCCATTCTGAACATACCTACTCTCATTCATGGTCCCATCTTTATGCACTTGCTCTTCATCTAAACACATGTGTGCGTTACTGGCTCACCAGGGTCTCGGTGCCAGAACCTGGAAGGAGAAGCTGTGCAACTGAGAAGTAGGGCCCAAGGGGCCTCTGCACCATCTCCTCTCCCAGCAGGTGACCGCGGAGTGGTTGGTGATGCCCTGAAGCCGCTGCCTCTGCCAGACCCAAGGATCATACTCAAGGCTCTCTAGAAGGCTGTATGCTCGGCTGTCCACATAGCCCAGAAAGCCATGTGGAGAAGCAGCTCTGAGGGCAGCGGAGAGTTCTGGAAGACATGAAGGGTTAAGCTGGAGTGTTTGACTGCAGCCACTGGTTCTAAAGATCGTGGACTGAGGAAAAAAACAAATCAAAGCATCCATTAGGAAGGGCAGTGAAGAGCAATGGATGGTTCTGGGGAGACTCTGGGGTGCCGTGGTGAAGCAGTGGCTCAACCTGGATGCCATGTCCCTGTGGCAGCTCCCCCTGGGGAATCTGAGGGGACAGGCTCGGTAAAGGGACAGGCTGAGAGCAGAGGGACACGTGGATCTGTGGAAGGAAACGCGGTGGTGCACTTTCAGTCAGAGACAACCTCAGTGGCTGGCCATGCTCAGGAGACACAGAGGGTGCTGCCACTGCAGAGTGGAACCCTTATTGCTCAAAACTTTGTTTCAATAAGAAAAAAAAAATTATCTAAAAATCATCAAAATATGTGTATGCACGTACAAATGCACCAAAATCAAGCCCCCTTTGTCTGTGTCACTAAGATACACTACTAAAAGCAAACACATAAAATGTTTTCATTTATGAATTGGTTAATTAACAGGTTGGGTATTCTTCATGCAAAATGCATGGGACCAGAAGTCTATCAGATTTTCAGTTTGGGGGGGTTGGGAATATTAACATGTACATAGTGAGGTGTCTTGGGGACAGGCCCCCAGCATGAACACTGAGCCCACGAATGTTTTCTATGCACCTGACACGCACAGCCATGTTCTCAGCACACCTGGGTCTCAACTATGGAGCCCACAAGGCCGCTGGGGGTACCATGTCATGGCTCAGGATGTTTCAGGCTTTGGAACACGTTGGGTTTGAGATGCTCAGCCTGTGTCTGTCTATCAGAATACTTTAAAATACGAGTAAGTAACCAACCGTAAAACCAAGCAGCTGGAGCAACAGGCCAACACCTGCTCCTTCCACTGCAGCAAAACACTGCTCAGGATTAAAGTCAGACTAAGCTGCAAGGATCCTGTTAAAATGCAGATCCTCAGCCAAAAGGGTCACAAGTTCAAGCCCTGCTTCGGCAATTGAACAACGTGGCAAGACACTGTCTCAAAATACACAGTAAAAGGGGATAGGGATGTGCTCAGTGCAAAGGCCTTGGGTTCAATCCCCAGAACCCCTGCCCCTCAGATGCAGATTCCAATCTCGGAGGTGTGAGTCCCTCAGGATTGTATCTTCCCCAGTGCTGGAGTCAAACCTAGGGCCTCATGCCAGGCATGTCCTCCACCACAGAGCTGCACCCCATTAATCAACCCCAGGAGATGCTGAGAGGTTCCATCTCCACAGCTCTGTGAGCAGAACTGCAGACAGCACAGAGGAGACCAAGCTGCAACAGTCCCCAAATCTCTCTTGCTGGGTTCATCTTTGGGAACACACACCATTCAGAACAGTCACGGCCAAGCAGGGGTCGTCTTATCACAACACTGGGAACTTTCTACTTCAACACTCAATATTACTGCCTCCTACTCATGCTGGGTGAAGAGGAGGGAAGTAGGGATACAGACTGTATAATCTCAAGGACCCCTGTTGGGGGCAACAGGAGAACACCGACCTTGGAACCCATCACACTGGCTGAAAAGGTACCATAGACATAGTGAGAGGAAGCTAGGGACAGGGTAGGACCCACCAGCAGATGGTTCTGTCTGGCTGGGCAAGTGCGTGTGACTCAGTGTAAGAAGTGGGATTTGAACAAACCCAGTTACTTGTGTTCTGCAAGAAATCCACAGCTGCTGTGGCAGAAGGAGCTTGGAGAGAGAGGCAGAGCTCAGCTCAAGGTCACCCCAGAATCCTGGTGCACCCAGGTCAAAAGCCTGGAGAAACCTATCCGGACAGCCCAGCTGTGGGCTTTTCTGCAGGAGAAACAGGAACACTTCTATCCAGCCTACTTCGCTGGAGCAAAAAGAAGGCTCTGAACAAACAGGGATGGCTAACATGTTACCCACAGTGTATGCAGACGCCCAGAAGATCTTTGTTCAATTAATGATTTGAAATCTCAGATTGTAAATCTGCCTCCAGAGACCGATGCTTCAAAGCCACAACCACAGAGAAGACACTGTTTCTGACCTCTCTTAAGCCCACATTGTTACAGTAACACTCACTCTCTTAGTGGTATTTGAAAATGTTCTCTCAGATTTCTCTACACAAGTCACCAAGCTGTCATCTCTACCTCTCTCTCTTTCAGGCTTTCTGCAACTTTACTGTATCTCCCACCACATAAGCAGTTATAATTAATAAAATTCTTACATCTTATAGAAAGCCACAGCTCCAGAAGTGCTGGAGATGAAATATTTTTATACATAATAGTTATTAACTTGCACATAGAGTAAGCCTGAGGAAATTCATTTTCTAACACTCCCAAAATCATAAGCTCTAGAATCTGTTCTATTTTCTTTTCTTCTCCTCCCCCTCCTCCTCCCCCTCCTCCTCCTCCTCCTTCTCTTCCTCCTCCTCTTCTTCCTCCTCCTCCTTCTTCCTCTCCCCTACCCTCTCTCATTTGCAAGCCAGCACAGGAACATGGTCCAGGCAGAAAACAAGTTGTTTTCACTAAATCAAGTACATTAGGCAGGGAAGATTCTGGTGTGATTCCTGGCTGTGCGAGGGGGTGCTGACCTCACTCTGATGGGCACGCTGAACCTACCAGTCTATACCCACCTGTGTCTCCTCGATGGGGGTAAGGGTTCTCATCCACGTCCTGCACTAAGATGTGGGTCTTCTTCTGAATCTGTACAGGATATTGTGCTGAATCCTTTCTTCCTGCATGTGTTGAATGCATGGCCATGTAGTTCCTGGAAGAATCAGGCCCATTGCAGACCTGGGACTGAGCTCCCCAGGGAAAGTAGGCACCAGTGTGGCCGAAATGCCCTGGGTTTGGGGTGTTTATGAGCACTCAGGAATTTCTGAGGCCTGGGGCAGACCCTAGCTCTGCAGTTTCCTTTATGTGGAAGCAGACTTTGCAGAGACTCGGGCCATCAAAATCTGACTGGCACACTGATGAAACCTTTAAAATCCAGGAAGCTGGTAAGGCTGTGGGATTCTGACTCCCACAGCCTCTGTGCCTGCCAGGGTAAGTCTACTGGACCCAAGTGAGTCCGGTGCTGAACTTGGTTCCAAGCATGGTTCTCATCTGCTCTCTGCTTCCTGCTCCCCAGGAGAAATGGGTCCCTCGAGGCAAGTGTGACCTGCATGTCCTGCGCAGCCCGATGCCCGGTGAGGAAGCCAGCACCATGGATGGCCCCGCTGGGCTGAAGGGTGAGCTGACATGTAGCAAGGTCCTGGACACCGGCCCAAGGAATGGCCTGATCAACACCAGAAACTTCACGGCTGAGAGCAGGGATGGTCTGGTGTCCGTATACCCAACGCCCCAGTACCAGAGCCATCGGAGCATGGACAGTGGTGGGAAAGAGTCTGCACAGCAGCTGCTGGACCCCAATGCCCTGCAGAAGTCAGTGGAGTCACGGTACCGGCCCAACCTCATCCTCTACTCTGAGGGCGTGCTGCGCTCCTGGGGTGATGGTGTGGCCACCGACTGCTGTGAGACCACCTTCATTGAGGACCGGTCACCCACCAAAGACAGCCTGGAGTATCCCGATGGGAAGTTCCTGGACCTCTCACCTGACGATATCAAGATCCACACACTGTCCTACGATGTGGAGGAGGAGGAACTACAGGAGCTGGAGGTCAGAGGATGTGCGGGCTGGGGCAGTGGGTACCTTGATTGGTAGGCACAGCGAGGGTGACACCAACACACAGAGATATGGAGAGATTGAGGTGAGTGTGAAAGATAGAAGGAGCAGAGGAAGGGGAGGGGCACCCAGAACAGGAGCTTCCACTGAGATCACTGGCAGAGGTAATCTCAGGTGATGGCCATGGGGTAGGGCAACAACAGCACCTTACCAGTGAGTCAGATGGGATCCTGCTGTTGACACCCTGGGAGAGGTCGGGCAAAGGGAGCCACATGAGAGGGGACATGTTGTCCCAGAGCCAGACAATGCTGCTGGCATGTGTGTGGGGACTTCTGGGAGGGGCTTTGCCATCTCACAGGGTCCCCTCCCTTGGCATTCCTGAGTTCCTGCCTAGGGAGGATTGGTACCGCTACCACCTGCTGGACAGCATAGCTGTGGAAAGGGAAGTTAGGCTGAACCACTGGATGAGCCATTTCTCCATGGACCCAGCAGCAAGGGGATTGAGTGACTTGCACAGAGATGTGCAGGTTGGGCTCAGGCTGCCCAGCATCCACCTCTTCAGAGGTGTTATAGGGCATTGCAGGAGGCAGCTCCACACCTAAGACACTGTGCTGCTGTGGGACAGTAACCAGAGTCTTCCAAGGAGCTGTGGCAGGGAGGTGACTGTGCTTTGGTCATCTGTGAGAAGCTGGCTTTGAAGCTCAGGAGAGGTATGGTGCGTGTGGTTACAGGGAAAGAAGTTTGCATTTGGCTCAGGTGGACAGCGGTATCTTGGAGGTAGAGGAAGAGGTCTGAACAGGGGAGACATGGGGGAAAGGGGAGGACCCTGAGGCCAAGCATAGGAGATACTGAACTCCTGGGGACAAGGTGGAAGAGACATGCCATGCTGTGTTCTGCCTAAGAGGAAGGAGAGAGCCATGCTGGCCCTGTCAGCCAAGGCCAATGGCCCGGAGCTTTGGAACATGAGGAGTCAAGATGGCTAGAGCAGTGACACAAGCTGAGAATGTTATAAACCACCTGGGCATCTGTGAAGGTGGCCTGACCCTGAGCTCTGTGGGTGGCTGTCCCCATGGGACCCATGTGCAGTGGAAGAGACACAAATGGAGGTCAAGTGGAGCCCACACAGGAAGGCCAGGCTGGGCATGAGTCTAAAGCTATCACCAAGGAGGGAGGGAGGACCAGGCCTGAAGGCCACAGGAGGACAGCACAGCCCAAGGGGCTTCCAGCCAGTAGGGTGGGATGTGGAAGAAAATATGAGTTTGAGCCTCAGAAGGAGCCGCATGTGGCCCTGGTCTCCAAGGGACCATCTTGTTGGGTGGCACTGTGTCAGAGAGAAGGGACTCAGCTCAGCCAGAGCCTGAGGGGGCTGGGAGGGCATCCAGCCCTCTGAGGCCTGAGGATGACAGCAGAGGCCCTTGTGCAGTCTGCCCTGGTGTTATAGGACCAGGCAGAGGAGGTGTCCCATGGCCCACTGTCCCAGGGAGCTCAGCTCTGAGCAGAGCCAGAGGTCACTGTAGAAGCCCCTGGCTCTGCCTCTTGCGGTCAAGGTAACTAGGGGAGTGGCAGGCAATAGGAGAACCCAGATCCAGGACGCAGGGGAGAGAAGTACCAAGGGAAGTGGGGCCCTGCCATCCACCATGGGTTCAGGCCATCACATGCTCCACAGTCTATGAGAAGTGGGAGCCCTTGGTAGGAGCAGCCTGGAGGAAGGGAGAGCCTAGTATATCCCTCATTAGCTTCCTGCCAGCTCCATTACTGCCGAACCCAAGGGAGGCATTTAGAGCAGTGGAATCTGGATGCTCCCACAGGAGTAGCACATCTCATCCACATTTCCGATATCTGTCAGTGAATCCTCACAGCTCTTGTGCACACAGTGGCTGCGCCAAGCACTGCAGGGGCTCAAGGCTCTGCAGGGGCTGGCATCTGTCCAAGGGAGGCACTGTCAGCATGACGTCAGGAGGCTGTACTCGGAGGCCAACTTGTCTGTGCTGCAGGGTGCAAGGTTTTGACAGGCTGTGTACATGTCTGGGGAGATGAACCGTGCCAACAATTATGTTCTTCTGATCCACAATGTTGGGGCAGCCCACAACAGTTTCTAGCAAGATGGCAACAGTGTTCTTACTCATGATAATAGTATCTGCTCATTATTGATGTTTTGGGGGTGAAGTTTGATGACAATGGCAAGATGGAGCATGTGCACATTAATTTCTTGGCCACAAAAGGCCATTCCTAATACCATGGAGAGAATGAGGGGCCTAGACATTAGGCTGCTGCTCAGGCACCAGTGAGACTTTTGGTCCACCTCAAGGAGCTCAGTCAGACCCAGTAGTGTCACCCAGAAACTCCAAGGGGAAGAAAACAGAAGACACTGCAACTGCTCCACCCCTCCAGGGCAGTTTAGACACTGATGGAGGATTTAGGGGCCCCAAGGTAGAGAATGAGGTCTTTTAGGAATTTTATGAAATGAAAGATATTTTCTCAGAAACATTCTTACAGTGTAGTCATGCTGCTTCTTATTCTATTTTTCAACAAATAAAGAAAATGTAGTAACTGACAAGAGGTGTCGTCCTGTATACAGAAACTGACCGGTACTATTTCCTATCCTGTGAAATGATGAAGGGACATATATCAGTTAGCATTTGATACACAACAGATCATCTAGAATGGCCAGGGTTTCTTTATTCAGCTTCTGATTCTAAAGTCAACATGTGCTGGACCCAGCTGTGTGGCTGCCCCCCAGGCCACACAGGCCCTCTTGTTGCTGTAGTCAGCAGCCGAATGGGCTGGGTGGCCATGCATAGGATGCTGGCTGCTGTGGCCCCAATGACAGTGACAATGAGTGGACATGTCCCCTACTCATCCAGGGGGCTGTATCAGGCTTCATCCAGGGGAGCCAGGTCAAGGGTCCCCAGGGCAGCAAGAAAGGGTGATGCCTACTCTCCACAAATTTCCAAGTCTTGCCAAGTCACACATGTTATGGTCTCTTGTCCTAAGCAAGCCATGTGCCAAGCCTGAGTCTCTGTGGGAGGGGCCAGCAGGACCATTTACAACTGCTCCACCCCCAGGTATTCACCAAGGCTGGCTCAGAACTCCACAGGTACTGAGACTGAAAGGCATGGTATTTCATGTAACCTGCCCATGTTCTCCTGACACTTTGAATCATCTCTAGATAAGTTATAAAACCTAACAGAATGTGAATTCTATGTCAATAGTTGCACGGCTTAGGAAATAATGATGAGAAAGGGGATCTGTGCAGACACCCTGTTCTATTATTTTCCATCCACGGTTAGTTGAACATGCAGATGAGAACGCAGGGACACGGGTGTAGCTGACTGCAGAGGAAATGGCCACAACCAGTGCCAGAACCACATCAGAGAACAGAGCCCTGCAGCACCACCTGGTCTTCGGTCACCTCACTGACCAAGTAATAGCAGCCTCTGCCATGCTGTAATGAAAGAGGCATAGAAACATCGATCCAGAGTTTTCTCCAAAGAAAGCTGTACTTCGGGGAGAGGGAAAATGCAATTTTAAGGTCTTGGAATTTCTATAACTTCGTTTGGTCTATAGAAAATCTATACAGTTAACGTCTGAGTGTAGTTTTCCAAAATCCATTGCTGTGGTTAAGAGCCAGAGTGCCTTGGCCATCGCAGGCTCCTCTTCACTCTATGCCCCATGGGCTCCCCTGGCTCTACCAGGACTGGCTCATGACTGGTGTCACACAGGAGGCCCATAGACACTGAACTCACTGACCCATGGCTGCACAGTATCGATGGCGTCTCCACTTGCTTTTGTGGTTGTGGTGGTGGCATGCAGGGTTCCTTCAGCAGCTGTTTCCCAGAAAGTCCAGGAAGGCCCCAGTGACTGAGCAGGCCCTTGAGGTCTCTCCTGTTCTGCTGAAGACAGATGTGCTGATAGTCAAGAGCAGAGCCGGTTGTGACTTCCTATGAGAGGGGGAGGTTCCTGGGCCTCAGAGGGATGTTCAGGACCACGTCCTCCCTCCTCTCAGCTGATCAACGGGCCTCATGGTGGTGCCCTGCAGACACACTGGGTAGGAATAATCAGGCCTGGCATCCAGGGCCCTGGGCCTCCTCACCACTGTGTGACCGGCGCTTCACTCAAATCCATGAGCAATTGAACTCAGCAGCCTCCAGGAACAGCAGCAGCAGGAAGCCACTTCTTCTCACACAAATAAATTCAGGCAGAGAGATTTCAGGCCAAATCATAAAGCAGTTCCACCAAATATACAACTGAGAGTTCGAAGCTGTGAGATGAGTGGTTGGAGCGGGCTGCCGAGCCCCTTGACCTGCTGTGTAGAGACGTCAGCCAAGTGTTGTGACAGTAAACAAGGGCAAAGACCTATATAGCACAGGGACCCCATCAACTAAGCACCACTGTGAGGGCAGATCCTCTTCCTCTCTGAGGAAAGAAAGGGCAAGGGAGATACATGTCCATGGGGCACCTACTCCACATCAGGCACCGTTGTTCATTCTGCCACCTAATCCTCATGATACCAGGGACAGTGACTACTGTCCTCATCCCATGCATGGAGAGGAGGACTTGGGTATTTCCATGGTCATACAGCCTTGTGCGGCAGCCCATGGAACTCACGTAAACCTGCTCATTCAGGCTCAGTCTCCTAAGGATGGTGCTGCTCTTCCTACCTTAGGGAAATGCACATCACAGTAAATTTCTGTGTCGGCAATGTGCCCAAGTCCTCAAATGATGTTTTGCACAGAGATAAACCTGGGATACTGAAGGCCCTTTTCCCCTCCTGAGAATATTCTTCGGACACTAGGAGATCCAATACCTTTGAGGGTCTCCTCATGTAAAGATAGAGCTTGAAGCTCACAGACCATCAGGAGCAGTGTGGCACTCACCTCTGCATCTCTCACAGGCAAGAAGAAAGAGGCTGTAACAAGAATTTGAAGAAAATCAAAAAGCCTGAGAGGCAGAACAATAACACCCACCAAAAACAAAACATCTGACCCAGAGGA